AGTAATGTTGGCGGGAGAAAGGAAGGTTTTAGCTCAAAGGAAAGGGAGGGCTAAGTCCAGAATTTTACTGCAGCAAAATTTTTCTCAATAAAAAATTTTTACTGTAGCAATGTTTCAAAAAAAAAAAAAAACACGGGGGATAAAAAGGGGCAACATGCCCTATCGCTTTCATTCAAAACTTCCACTTCCCCTTTCAGTCAAAACCCTACCAGCCCCACCAAGTGTTTCCGTGGCATCCCTTTCTCCTGCGCCGTCGACCCTGCTGATCAGCCGTGACCACAGCCTCGTGCGCACTCGAATCCAAGGGACCCAGTTGGTGTTGATTCTACCATTGAGGCTTTCCCCTATTCAGATTCCTCAAGAGAAGTTTTGGCGCGGAATTTCAATTTTAACTTTAGGGCTGAAATTTTTTCTGGTTGAGCCGCTCCTTCCGTCGCCGATCCCGAAATGGTGCGCACGAAGAGACCAGCCAACAAAAGAGTGGGTCGCGTGCCAAGAAACCCACAGATTAGTTATCGGACATTTTCCTCAATAGCGGCGGAAGTCCGGTACGACCAGTGCATCTGCCGGCGTTCTTTCAACCCTGAGAATGTGTTCTTGCTGACCAGCGCCCCTAATATGGGGTATGATGAGAGCATAGCTTCGGTCATCAATGCCATAAATTGGAGAACTTTTTGTTCTCCCCCGCCGGCCGCAGTAGTCCCTCTCGTCTGAGAGTTCTACGCCCACTTCACCCAAGAAGGGCAGCAGCATGTGTACACCCGGGGTGTTAAGGTTCCAGTTGACCCGGAGACGATAAATCGTTTCTATGGGCTAGAGGCCTCGGTTGATCTGCACTCTGAGTTTGCAGCGGTGGTTGATGCAACTCAGCTAAACAACATGCTGGAACATCTTTGTGTCCCAGGCACCAAATGGAGCGTCTCCAAGCAGGGTGCTTTGACGGTGCCAAGAAGCAGCCTTGCCCCGCAGAGCAGAATTTAGTACCATTTCTTGAAGACCCGCCTACTGCCCTCCACGACGATGCACACAGTGTCCAAGAATCGAATGCTACTGCTGGATCCTGTCCTGGCAGGCCGCCCAATCAATGTCGGCAAAATAATCAACAGGGAACTCCGGACGTGTGCTCGAAAGGCTAAAGGTAGCTTGTGGTTTCCCGCACTCATTTCAGGACTGTGTCAAAACAGTGGCGCGCCGGTATTTCCTCATGAGGAGACGTTGTCCTCGCGTGGAGCAATCACCACCCTGACCATAGCACGGTTGGCACAGAATCAGCCGGAAGGAGAACCTCCAGCTGAGCAGTCCTCCGATGAGGATGAGGAGCCAGACCCGGCGGGGCAGGCCGCAACCAGCGGACATGCAGCCGAATCGAGTAGCAGAGGTCAGAATGCGAGAATAATCAGCTCACTCAGCATGATGGAACAACGAATCACTCTCCAGGAAATTCAGCAGGCTGAGATGATGGAAATGATGCAGCGGATGCATAAGCAGCAGCAGCAATATTGGGCATACGCCGAGCAACGGGACAACGCCTTGAAGAAATCTCTTCAGAAAAACTTCACCAAGCCAGTGTTCCCATTCCCTGAATTTCCCGAAGAGGTGCTGGAGCCCGTTGTTTCTGAGGACAGTGCCTTGGTCCACCCAGAGGAAGAAGAAAAGGAGTAACAGGGTAGGCGCCCTGCCTACCCTGCCCAGGGAGTATAAATTTTCTGCCCCATTTTTGCTTTGTCTTATTTCAGTTGTTTTTAGTATCTGTTTGTTCTTGGTAGTTTATCAGCATTTTCCCCAAGCAGTGAGGACACTGCTTCCTTTAAGTTTGGGGGTGTTTGGCAGGCCTATGTAGATTTGTGTTTAATGCCTGTTAATTGAGTCTGTTTGTTTAGTAGCATATTAGTTTGATTTTTGTTAAAAATATATATATATATTTGAATAAATGCCTTGGTCTTGCTGCAGTTGTGTTGGTTTAAGGACATTCAATGAAAAACGCAGTGTGTCAAAAGTCTCAGCTTGTATAACAATTCGGCATGAGTTGAATCTTGGTGATATCTGTGGTTCGTTAGCTCCATGAATGTTGTCATGTGAAATTTAGCATGTTAGATCATAGCACAGTTGTCCAGTGGAAAGCCTAGGAAGTTTTGAGTCATTGTGAGAACTTGGGGTCATAGAACTGATTGTATGATGCCCTTGAAGTTAAGTTCAGGGGGGGGAGGCAAACGTTTTAGGGTAAATCAATGTTGAAAAGGGTGGAAGTGTATTTGCTATAAAAAAAAAAAAAAATCTATACTCTACTATTCCGAGCCGCCTAGTAACCAGGAGTAACATGAGCCCCATGTGTACTTTTGCGTCAAACAGCAGTTCGGGATATGAGTGTGCTAAAAGCAAATCTGGTTTGTGACGTTGTTGAGTAACCGGGTGCCTTCATCACCAATGTTGGCATTCGCGTAAAAAGGCAGCAGTGACATGAAGATCTAAAAAAAAAAAGAGTTCAAAAAGGGTTATATGTATGCACCCACCTAGTGCCCTTAGAGGTAGACTACGGGTTGAATAAAGCCTTAGGCGTTTGGTTCTCTAGAGCACCAGGAGAGGGGTCAAGCAATCAGCTTATTAGACCAAAAGCTAGGCTCAAGGATCGTGATTCAAGCAACCTAGGTGAAACAAGGATGGTTAGCTATGGTCTCACACACTCACTATTAGAGGAATGTCATTTGTGGAGTGGGCAGAATGGCAGATTGATCTGAGATTGGATGAAGAGTCGGTTGGAAATGAGATGGGACTCTAGAGGCATTATTGGAGAATGGAGAATCAACTTGCTCAGCGGCCAAAGCAGAAATTTGTGTTTAGATATCGTGTTTTGTTGTTTTGTTTTGTGTTGTTAGGCATTACTCGAGGTCGAGCAATGACTTAAGTTTGGGGGTGTGATAACTCACAGAAATAGAGTTATTTAGCATACTTTTAGGCTTAATATTTGTTTATATTCTCCGGGTAAAATGCCTTTGTGTTAGTATTTTTAATAGCATTTATTAATCTTTGTCCGTGTGGCAGAAAGTTGTTATTTCTGGGAAATCTTGCTATATTTTGAAGTTATTCCTCAATTCAACTCATTGCATTGACCCTGGGAACTTAGTGCATGATGTCCACAGGAGGTGCTGACGTAGGCTTTTGGTGAGAAAAGCGCGGTGGAAAACACAAATGTTGAAATGCCTCCAATGCCATAGCATTGCTGCAGCAAAGTCGCAGCAAAAGCAGGAGCAGCCAAAAATTAGCAAGCTGGCGCAGTTTGTCTTTTAGCGCTGGTAGTGGTCTAAGCAAAGTCTGGACAGCTGTAAGAGCACCAGGAGGGGGGACCATCAATCATGACTCTCATGCAGACACTTGTCACTAGGGCACCTCAACATGCCCTAGTATATAAAGGAAAAGAAGAGTATAGTACAACGGGCCAGAAAAAAGGAAAGAAATCAGTGGAGGCGCACAGAATTCCTGTACAAGCTGGAAACGGAGACAGAAGAGAATTCCTGGACGCTGGAGCTGGAGAAAAGAATAGTACAGCACGGATACACAGGGGTTTTTGACCTCAGATTTTAGCTTAGCTGTTTTCTCCTTCTCTCTGTATTTACTTTCCGAGACCTTATGGATCTGTTATTTGTTATTAATTCTGATTTTGTTGAACTAAACATGAGCTAAATTCCTTAGCTAGGATTATTGATGGAACCAAAGTTGCAATGAAGATCTATTTGCTATTTTGATTGATAATGTAATTTTCATCTGGTTTATTCAAGCATATTTATTGTTTACTTTCTATTAAGTGACAGGCCATCATTTAGTAAGAAAACACAAACTTAAGCTAATTCTGGAAAGGTTGGTTGAGTTAGATCTAGCTTGGATAATGTAAGAGATAGTATAGGAATATACTATTATCTTGTACAACCCATTAAAATTGATGTTAACGTCAGGTTTGTAAACTAAAACACATAGGAATATGTTGGTTTGGTTTAAGGAATTACAAGCATAAATCTGTCGGAAGATGATTATGTAGAATTTTAGGTTGACTAGATGAACTTTGCTACAGCAATCGTATAGCAAATCGTGGTCAGAGTTGCAACCGAGGGAAAATCAGTAATCCTAGCCTTCATCCATCATTAAATCACAGCTCTAAGCTCAGATCTTGTTGACTTTTACCTCTTGTCTGCATTTAAATTACAGTCTTTGGTCTTATACATTCTTTTCACTTAATTAATATCAATTTGGCATTCAAACTATTCTCAATCATATTGATAAAACTGGTTTTTGTAATAGAATTCCTCATTAACTCAGTCCCTGTGGAGACGATACTTTACTCATTACTATATTACTTGTTCGATTGCGTGCGCTTGCGTTGAGTCATTTTATGCATAGAGTTTTTGGCGAACACTAAGCAACGGGCCACGGTTTCCGTCAATCTTGAGAGATCTTGAGTCGTATTTCAAATTTAGTTTCGGATTTCGTCACGTTGTTGGCGTGGTTCGTATCAGTATTAGGTCTAATTTACAAATCAGAGTAAAAATTTGTGTGAGTAACACTTGACCAAATCAACCTAAACATTGGGCTAGGATCCTGTTATTCAACATTTGGCCGAAGCCCGAAAGCTCATTGGCTGGACTTGAGGCAAATCTAAAAGAAAGAGAAATTAGCTGAGAACTCTAATATATCTTCAGATTTATGTTACAAGATCTTTGTGGTTGAGATTTATGTCATTTTTTACTGATTTTGATTAGTCTATTTGTGTGGCATAAATCCAAAGCTCTAACATCCGTGGCATAAATCTGAAAGTGAGACTTTTTTTGGGAATTCTCAAAATTTCTCAACGTAAAGAGATCATGTTGATCACTTGGTAGCCCAAAGCTTTATGTGCTTTGCTCTTATATAGCATTTAACATACCGGAACACAATGAATATAAATAGGATATCACAGATTTTTCAATCAGCAGTGAAAAAACTGTTTCAATCGTTACATGATGATAACATATAGCTCTCAGAATTAGCATATGAATCTTAAAAAGTAGTGTACATGATCACCAAAATTAGACATGTATGAGCCAATATTATTGCAGCCTCATATCACTCAATTTGCCATGTGATCATCAAGTAAATTTTCTTTCATACAGCAAAAATGAAACAGAGGAAAGTTATACAATGTTCAGCTACTGAATTGGTACGTCAAGGAACGGAAATGGAAATTAGGATTCCACCATTGCTCCACGCTGTGAGCGCGTCGAAAATCAGGCGACGGAGTTTGATTGATAATCAAAAACGCCGAAGGAAGGAGATCGTACGGTTCAGTCTCCTTCCCTAGAGCGCCTGAAAATATGCTCTCAAATGAACTCTTTGTTGCCAACTTGCCAATTTCCCCAGCTCCAATCTCCTTCATCGTCTTCCTGTGCTCGAAATACCCGATATAACCTGAACAAATGGGGTCAGCCGGGTTCACAAAAAGGTATGGAAACCAAGCAGAGAGAAGACTAAAAGTGTCTCTATCATGATCATCATGAGCACTTGTGATGTGCTGCGGATGATGACCTTTCACAACAGTGCTTAAGCCCACCTTCATAATGCTGCCCGCGATGCGAATCCCATGTCGAACTCTCTCTCCTTTGATGCTTCCAATAGGAGCAGATATGAAAGGTGGATTGAATAGGTAAGTTTCTAGAGGAAACCCCATTTTTGCCATGTTTTTACCTACTAGTAACCCAATGGCTGACCCCAAAGAATGCCCTGCCAACCACACATTTTTAGCCCCGCATGAGGAAACCAAGCTCTGCATAGCCTGCATCGCAAGCAGAACCCGCGAGCTCTCATGAATCGTGTTGCAAATGCATTGGAAGTCAAGCTTCAAGTCCCTTGATCTCGTGTCGGGTTGAGTCAGAGTTCCTCGGAAGGCGACGGCGTATTTAGGGGGTTTTAGCTGATTGTGATTGTTGTGGAACAAGTGTGGATTAGGGAAGTTGTACTCGTAAATGACGCCGAAGATTGAGTTGTCTACATTATCTATGAGAACATGGTTTAGCTTGAAATGGAAGAACTCCCAATATGGAGAAGCTTGTGCTTCAGGGCCTTGGCGATTTTCTTGGCGGTCTCGTTCTATTCTGTAGGCTGCTTCCACCAAGCTGGCCGCAATGGCTCTTCGGTGATGCACATTTGTCCTGCAACAAAATTGATTAGGAAATAGGAATTTAATGCTCAAGAAATCTTTTGTGCCCCAAATAAAAAGAGATTAGGCATAATAAAATATACTCATTCAGTATTTTTCTAGATGGAGATCCTTTTTTCCTTTTGAGGACTGAAATAAAAAAGTGAGAAAATAAAAAATACCACTCACTCAAAATAGACTAATTAACATTTACGCCATCAAAGTGGTATAGTGAAAACGTCTTTTATTAAATTAGTAGAAAAATTTCACACCACTCAAAATATTACTAAGATAACTTTATTAGGATTACCAATCCACAGCAGTGAGATGTGAAGGTCCTGAAACGCTGAAAAGTTCTGCTGCAGAGAACTTTCTTCCCATTTTTCTTCTGCTATCTATTATCTTTTGAGAATGTTTCTCTAATTAATGTGCTCCGTACAGAAGGAAAATCCTGCTAACAAAAATTATGGATAGCTAATTACTGTTTAACATTATAAAAAATGAATTATTATCAATTAGTGGTACTTGAAAGTGCAGGCCACGAACAATCAACTAAATTGTATTTAAGAACTTAAGCAACTTAATGAAAATATAAAACCATACAGAAACAGAACAAAAACACACCAAGTTTATGTGATCAATAAAAAACTATGCCTTTGATTGTAGTTGCATAACCCAATTCAGCTACAACAAATATGATTATTAAAAGATCATTAATCGATTCCGTAATATCTGTAAACTAACAGCCAATTAGACAATAGGATTAGGATAAAATTAGCTTCAACAGCAGCTCTAGATATCCAAAATTTTTGACATACCAAAACACTTGCGAGGAAAGTAAAGCAAAAACATACCACAAAGGAGAGAATTAGTGCTAGGCAGTAGTCTTGAGCACTTCAATCAACATGAAATGAATTGAGAGAGACAAAAAGAATGAATGAGAAGCATGATCGTGGGAAAGACTTTCTGAAAACCAAAAAGGAGAAAAAGGAAAAAAAAGTACAAGTTGCCAAATTGCTTCACAATTCTAGGGTCAATCAGCAATATTTATATAATATAGGTTATAAAGTTAAGGAAGTTAAGGACCAACGAAAATTCAGAAATTAGTAGTTTGGATAGAATATTCCTTACACTGGATGGAAGGATCAAAGAAGCTGAACAAGGTTTGGAATGGCCAATTTAGCCTTATTGGTTATACATGTGTGAAAGAAAAGCTGGAGTATAACTATGTCTATAATGTCATTTTGTAGTCTAAAGTTTCATTTTTCTTCCATATTCTGAAAAGTCAAATTTTGCAAATAAGTATTGTAGCCTTCGACGAAATTAAACTTTTAAATTTTATTATAATATTGTAATAACACAAAGACAAATAACAATGATATGTGGGAAGTTTCCACATCAATAAGTACGGATAGGGACATAACAGTACTATTGAGGATTAATGTGAGGATATATGTTAATTTATGGAGAATATCACATAAAAAATAGAAGTAATATATAGGATAAAGTTTTGAGTTAAAATATAGAGTCAATGACTCCAAAAGATTTTATTTTATTGCCGGCAGTTTTCAAGTTGTCGGCTTTTCTGTTTATCAATTTCATGGTGGCTTTTTTTTTTTTTACGCTTATTTTTGGTAGGAGGCATGGAATATAGAAAGAAAGGATAAGTAAAATATTTAGATGAATGAAATAAAATAATATAAATGAGATTTTATAGAAGAGAAAAAAAATGAAGAAAATGTCAATTGTTATTTTACTCTTATATAAATAAAAATATGGTGAATGGTTTAAGGATACAATTGTTATTTTACATCCTTTTTATTTGTTAAATTTTCTCTCCTATTTTCTTCCCAAAGTTGAAAAAAATGAAAAGTAATGGGCCTCATGAATTTACAACTTCCTTCATTCCTCATTTCTTCTCTACCAAACGGTCTAAGATTTCCTTTTCCTCTCTAAATCCTTGCTTTAATTTCTTTCCTTTCCCTTTTGCACTCTACCAAACATAGTGTTGAAGTTGCAAGTCATTCTAAAAGGTAGTTGTGTGTTGTTCTTTTCTTTTCTTTTCTTTTTTTCTCCATGTCCTTCAGTTTTGAATTTTATGTCATTCTACAAGATGTCAGTCTCTCTCTCATTTTCTTTCTCTCTCATCATTTTCCAGTTTGATGTCGTTTCTCTAAGACGCGTGGCTTTTATTTATATCATTGTACAATTGTATCATTTATAAATATAGAGTAACATAAATGATACAAAGATTATTTATGTCATTGTTTGTATCTGTTGTTTTTCAGGATTGTTAGTCGTTTCTAAGTTACCATGTCGTTTCATAATTTACTGTCGTTTCTATTTCTCGTTTCCAAAATTTAATTCGTCTTTAAGTTGCATGTCGATTTGACAATTTGTTATCTATCCGCCACTCTTAAGATGTCTGTCTCCTATAACATTACTGTCGTCTTTTGTGGTGCCATTTTCATCATTTTATTATTTGTTTTTTTAGTTTGTTGTCGATCTTACTGTTATTATAGATGCATGGAATTTCTTAAGTTATTAGTCGCTATCATCTTTGTTCATCATTTTTTTGTTATTGCCCTTTTTGTTAAATCATTCATGTCATTAAGTTAAAATGTCGTATTTAGATTCGTTCATCTATATGGGATTTTAAATTCATATCCTTATTCAAATTGAAAGTCCTTTTAAACAATTAGTTGCATTTTGCATAATTTTTATAATCATTTTTAAAGGTTTGTGTCGTTTTAATTTTCGCAGTTGTTTTTCATGTTTCATCTTATTTTATATTTCTTCCATCGTTTTTAAAGGGGATTTCTGGTTTTATTTATGTTTTTGCATTGAGGATTATCGTCGTGTCTTTCGATATTCCTGTCGTTTTGTCTCTAATCTGAAAGTTTATTATTGTTTTCATAGTTGCAATTGTTTTTTTTTTCAGTTAAAATAAATCCCGTTTCCAAATTAACTTGTAAATAAATGTTTTTTTACCTAAAAAAAAAATGTTTTATTTTTGCCGTTATGTAAAGGTGTCTGTTGTTTCTTTCATCCCTTCTTTTTCTTCTTTTTTTCTCTTTTTTTTTTGTTTATCGTTCTTCAGGGTGCTGATTTTCTGGTATATACCAGATGAAGACTAACTTTTTTTTATTATTAACTAACAAATAATGATTTTATGTAGAACACACATTCGAGTTTTAACTCAAATACTTCGAAAGGGTACTTTGAGTTCTTCAAGAATACTCATGGAGTGAATCACGTGGATAGACAACTGAGAGAGCAAAGATTGTATAAGAATTACTTAACACTTTATCATTTCGTTTGATTTTGTATTTTTTTTTACTCTAACTTAAAAGTTTATAACACTTCACCTAATGCAAGAACAAATGATCAAGACTCGCGATGCTCATTTAAGTAACTACTAGAGGGGTCAACAACATGAGCTTATACAAAAGCTACTTCAGTAGATAAATTCGCCATCAAATTATTTTGGACCTTCCGTCTCAAGAAGAGAATATCCTCCACCACCATCACCACCGGCCGCAGTTTATTAGATAGTTTAATTCTTGTAATACTAAGACTTTATTAGTACATTATTTGCATAAGTGTTTGGGTTTTGCTTAAGTATCACTATTTTAGTATTTTGTTTGGATTCTAATATGTATTGAAATATTTAGAAAATTTTAAATTAATATTTGACATTTTATATATATATATATATATATATATTTAAAAAAATACAGGTATATAAATATGTTTTAGTTTTGGTGACTAAAAAAATTTGGCTGCAACAAATTAGTTATTTGCTACTAAATATTTGGTACATGATTCTTGTTCTTTTCGTTATTAAATATATTTTGCTACCAAACTTTTGGTATTTAAATATCATATTTTTCGCTACTAAATACCTTTTGTTACCGAATATTTGGTCACCAAATCTCATACATTTCGCTACCAAAAATAATTTGATATTAAATATTTTGTCCATAAATCTCATGGTTTTTGCTACCAAATACCTTTTGTTACCAAATATTTGATGATTGAATCGCGTACTTCTTGCTACCAAATATATTTTGCTACTAAAATTTTGGGGTCTTAAAGCTCACATTTTTTGCTACTGAAATTTTTAGTCCCCGAATATCATACATTTTGCTACCAAATACATTTTGTTACTAAAAAAATTTTTAATAGCAAAAATTATTTACTACCAAAATTTTAGTAATTAATACTTTATTTTACTCACTTTTTGCTAACAAAATTTTTTGGTAACAAAAACAGGACTTTTGGTTACTAAATTTTTGGTAACAAAAAATTCAAATTCTTGTAGTGTATATCTGGCCTTACGTCGTTCTCATAGCCAAAGGATGATTTGAATCGTTTAATTGCCTTATTATTCATGTCGTTTGTTAGTGTTTTTTTTTTTTTTTCTGTTTTCAAATTTATTGGCTTCTTATGTTTTCTTGCCTCAAAATTTTAATGTCGCTTACAAATTTTTTTTGTTTTTTTTTTTGTTTTTGGAGTTGTCATGTCTAATTTCTATAGTTATCGTGTTTTTACATTGTCTTTCACGTCGTTAAACAAATTATTATGTCGCTCAAGTTGTTTGACTTCTTTTACATTATCATTTTTCAAGGTATCAGTTCTTTTTGTTTCCGTTTCAGGATTATTGTCGTTTCCCATTATTCATGACGCTCTTTCGTGGTTTTGAACAGTAAAATTCCGTTACATGAGAATATCTTTGGAGTTAAAAGTTCGTCGTTCAAATATTATGGTGTCATTTCCCGCGATTTTTGCCGCTTGCATGATGTCGCGGCTTCACTGATGAGATCTACTAGTGGTAGATGACGGTCTTATTCAGTTTATCAATTTAAGTTAAAATATAATTTTATAAGAGAATTTTTAACTGTAATAAAAAAAATAAATTTAATTTTTTATTAAAATTTTTAATTATAATAAAATTAAAATTAAAAATTTAAATCAGTGAAATTAACGTGCTAACATTTTTCCGGTTATTATTTGGATGAGCTTGTTTGACTAAATTAAGGAGAGAGAACAAACAAAAAAAACAAAAACAAAACAAAAAAAATTCTCTTCTATACGATAGGCTAGTCCCCTATGTTAACTAGCGGAGCTCTTGCAGGGGGGAAGTCTAACACACACAGTATTGAAGCTTTTCTATTACATGAGTCCCTCCCTCTTCCCTTTCTCGCCTTCCACTCTTTCAGCCAAGTACTTAACAAAAAGAAAAGTCACTTATAATTCAAATTAGAGGAGATTTTCTGTACTGTATAAGTGGCTCGGAAGAAGAATCACTACGATACAAAGTCGTCGTTTTTCACCTATAATATATACCAACGTATTTTTTCTTCTAGTTTTGGTCGTGAAAGACGATAGATGAAAAACAGTAAACGTGCGGAGAATTGAACCCAGTGCCTTTCGCATGAGAAGTGAGCGCTCTACCATATGTGAGCTACACCCCATTTTCATCATCTGAACACATGCCATTGTTGTTGGCGGAGTAGATGGTCGAGTCTCAAAGCCGAAGACGGCCGGGAATGGTGGAGATTGATTGGATGTTGCGGTGGTTGGAGTTGGCCTCTCGCAAAGTTGTTAGGAAAGCAAAAGAGAAGACGATGGCAAAGAATATAATAGGGGCTATTTTGTTCTTCATGGCTTTGGTGTCAAACACTACACTAGCAAATTGATGATTTATGGGAAGGAAATATAGGATTTTTGGAGGGTCGTCCTGTATATGATTTGGACTTAAAATAAGACTATAACTACTAACTAGAACTTGTTAATTATATTAGTTATTATTATTATCTTTTATTTTTCTCTTCATTAAGGGTAGAATAGAATAGTCTTTCTTTCTTATTTCACTGGTCTATATAAACTTTGCTTTCAGTTGTATTTTATTTTGGTTAAGTAATTCAATGAGAAACCCTAGCCTCTATTTTTCTCCATAG